ATCGTACTTATTGATTAAAATCCGCAGGTAGTGTATATTTTAATTCCTGTAGCCCAAGTTTATTAGTGTTGCGGCAACAATTTATTTTAAATTTCGATGTATGGAGCTTTTTAAATTAAGGGAAGAGACTTTTCTTAACTTTAAGAAAAGTAAGATCGAATAAAACAAGCTACAGCTAATCTAACAGTAGAAAACTTGGTTGTATTTAATTTAAAGTAATTATCAAACTTAATTTAATTTAAAAATATAAAAGATAAATATGTCACTTAACAATGCACTGACACGCAAAATTTAGGATAAGCTTAACTCTTACACCTAAAAAAAAAAAGTTCAAATACTCCAAATAATTTGAATAAATTATGCGTACAGAAGACGGACGTAGGATGATTGCACCAGTGATCGAAACGTCGTACCTGTTCTAAAAATAATCTTCCTTACTGTAAAAACTGTAACTTGCAATAAATTTTTTAAATCAGTAAGTAAACTCAAACGAAACTATTAATTCAAACTACAGCAGTAACTAAGTTTTGTTCGTATAATTCTATGTTTTTGTGCCTAATGTCCAACTTTCCTATCATCTTAGTCTTTCGTCAATACGTTTATAGACTTAACCTGATTCCTCAATACCAAAAAGTAACACCTCAGATAAAACTACATGAAGCCATATAAAATCCTAGAGGAGCAGAGAAATTGTATATGTATCTAATCGCCTTTAATCAGTATAGTTTAATTTCCGTATTACGGATTCTAAAAAAGCCAGCTAAGCCTAACGTTCCCATTAAACAAGTCTCACTGAAAGAATCTGCCTATGTTATAGATGGTAACCGGACAATTTAGACATCTAAAAAAACGAGGAAGTAGGACATTTAGACACCTAATAATTGTAGAGGGGTGTTAAAACTTCGTAACATACTTAAAGGAAGAACTTGCGGAATCGCAATATATTTATCTAGTTGTACGGTTACCATGCAGGTCATATAATGGAGTAAATTAAACAGGTAACGTAGTAAGCCTAGATATATACAGATCACATAACAGAGAAAATTTAAACTGTCAACAGTACAAACCATTGTCCCTGCTTTGTGTGGCACTATTTTCTTCTACACAATGGTTAAATCGTTCACCAATATCCTTCCATGATTTCTTTCATTAACAACTTATTTTAGGCCAACCAAAGTATAAGAAATATGTTATTTACCACTTCTAAGACTTATATTGTCATCTAGTTGGTATTTCAAACATAGCGTCAGTATTTGTTCTCTTGGTATCCACCTTTGATAAGGTAATAATACTTCTTTAAGTAGTTATGAAGCATAATTTCTTTGATACGGAGCATCCATACTCTTCCTCTTCTCAACAGCACTGAAGATGGGGTATAAATATCATCTCTCCTTCTATTATAGCAGCTGTAACATGTCTAGATTCTCCGAATGAGCTATTTTAAGCTCTTCCACAAACCTAGCTTGTTAACATCTTGGGAGGGGGCACCGATTCATGGTCAATACTGCATGTTCCCCTTTTACTCTGTGTGTTGCATTGCTCAGATAGGCCCTCACAATTTGTCTTGATTTCCTGACCAATTATTGATGCCAAATAAATGTTCTTGTTATTCATGTGGTGATTATTTCCTTTGAATTTTGATCAACCATGAAACAAATATGATTTACTGTTAAAGTGAATGACCACTCGTTTAGGTAATTCGTGGAGTAGTTTCAAAAAGGTGACCATTACTGACTTTTATCTTATTTTATGTACAAAGGTTTTCTTGGACTTAATGTATTCATATCATAATTCACTATCTTCTACTACTCATTCCACTCTTGTAAATACAGCATCAGTGTCTCTGTATGTCACAGTACAGGTAAGCCATGATGTACGATTTTTGATTCAGCATCTACAATTCCTTCCAAATTCTTCATCCCAAAATATTGGAAGGCAACATGACACAAAACCAGTGAGGTCTCACACATCCTTCTTCGTTGTTGTTCAACTCTTGTCCTGTACGAGCTTTTCTGTCATTGGATTTCTAAAGATGTATCCCAGAAACTCAAGCTCATGGTGGTGTACTTCTTGAGTCTAGCTGACTTCAAGTTTTCCTTCATCCTGAAGTTGTCTAATTCCATCTATACTTCATCGATGTATATTAGTCAATGGAATTCACACTAGACTAGTTGTTTCCCACTGGAAAGTTGAAGAGACATTTCATCCATGGCACAACATCCTCAAATAAAAAAAACAAGCTTTTTAACTCTTTAAATTCATACAAATTCTTGCTTCTCTCTTTACATGATAATCATTAACGACAACAAATCACTTTCTAGAATTTGTGTGATATCCTCCTTATCCTGGGTTCTCTCTTTACACGATCATCATTAATGACAATCAAGTGCTTTCTGGATATATCCTCCTGAACATCCTCTGTGCTTGTCCCTTAACCAATTTACTAAGGCCAGTTAGGGAGTTCTTTGATCAGAAAAGCATTACTTGCATTTTACATTACAACCACTTAGTCCCACAACAATTCTCTAGCACTCGTCTTTACACTCCACAAACAACAGTTAAGTGTTAATGTAAACTGCTCCATAGAGTATACAGAACCATCATCTTTACACTCCACAAACAACAGTATGTTGGTTGTTCTGGTATTAACCATGGCTGTACCTAGCATGTTGGTTGTTTTGGTATTAACCATGGCTCTACTCAGTATGTTGGTTGTTTTGGTATTAACCATGGCTCTACTCGGTATGTTGGTTGTTCTGGTATTAAACATGGCTCTACTCGGTATGTTGATTGTTTTGGTATTAACCATGGCTCTAATCGGTATGTTGATTGTTTTGGTATTAACCATGGCTCTAGTCGGTATGTTGGTTGTTTTGGTATTAACCATGGCTCTACCTAGTATCTTGGTTGTTTTGGTATTAACCATGGCTCTACTCGGTATCTTGGTTGTTCTGATATTAACCATGGCTCTACCTAGTATCTTGGTTGTTTTGGTATTAACCATGGCTCTACTCGGTATCCTGATTGTTTTGGTATTAACCATGGCTCTACTCAGTATCTTGGTTGTTTTGGTATTAACCATGGCTCTACTCGGTATGTTGGTTGTTTTGGTATTAACCATGGCTCTACTCGGTATGTTGGTTGTTTTGGTATTAACCATGGCTCTATCGGTATGTTGGTTGTTTTGGTATTAACCA